TAGTAAAACGTTTTAGATGAAGTAGTTTGAATCCCTTGATATTACACTTATTATTGAGATTCTTATCAGCTTTCTCTTAACAGCGATGAAAATCATATTTATTTGCTGTTTATTAACCTTTGCAATCAAACAAATATGTGAATGCATTCTGTGCAGTGGTTAATTTATACTAGTATACGACCAGAAATTAGATCGATGCAGTGAAGCATCTAAAGGTTGATCTGTATGGCTGATCAAAGATACTAAACAAAAGTAATTGGGCGATGCCTAAAGCTGAAATTGTTGCGTTTCTTTGTTCGCGTTACATCATTTCCAGTTTCAGTTTCCAAAGTAAACTGAATAAGATCTGAAAGCCGCTGAAACAATACGTGACATTATTTATTTTGCTGTTCGTGTGGATGTGTTGTCTTTAATATCTCAGAACGATGGGTACCATAATTTGCTTAAAATCAGTTATGAGTACTTAAACGAATCCAGTGGCATATTTATGGAAATCCTGAAAATAATATGAGGGAATTTTTCACTAGTTGTTAGTCTACTTTAAATTTAAAAACTAGTTCTTTTAGCATTCTTTTTTAAACCGTTGATAATCATGAATGAATATTTGTGTCGTTCTGTCACGAGTCATTAATAAGGAATTAAGTTCGTATTTTTATCCATTATTTAGTTCATACGTATGGACAAGATGGAAATACTTTGAGGGTGTTTCTAGTTTAACTTCTTAAAAAAAGTATGAGACCTTTTAAAGTTACAGATCTGTTTTGTTTGTTAACACTCAACATGCTCAAACACCAAGTCTTTGGACCTCATATCAGTTATCTCAAACTTTTGCATTCAGAAAATATCCTCTTACAAACCTACGTTTTTTGAGAGCTTATTAGGTCAACAATTTTTTATTACAACCATCTAGTTTAGCTTAAGATAAAAAGTATGTAGTGGGATACTTGAAAGGAGTTTAGAACTTTTAGTTCTCTGAACAAGAGAAATAAACTAGAACTTATTTGAAAATAAATCACATGTAAATTTTGTTAAACCTGTAATCATTCATTTTACAGGATATCATTCTTATTTTTTTAAATATTCGTTAAACATTTCGCATACCCAGGTATTTGAATTTATAACGAATAAACTGATGCCAGGTAAGACGACTGAGAAAGTGAGGAAGATAGGGACGCAAACTACATAATGCTTTTTAAACAGCAAAGCTATATAGTAATTTAAAAGGTATTAAAATGCCTGTTAGAGTGAAGGAGCCATTATGCAGCATCGTAATCTATACTGTTTTCTATTTGTGCTTAGTGATCACAGGAAGTATATTACATGGGACGTTTTTAAGCATCTAAACGCGTATTCCCCTTTGGATTCTATGCATATGTTGACCGACTTATAACGATTACCAGTTAAGGGAATGTCACTTGTGAGTAAACTTACTGTATCATAAGTTATGAGCACAAGAGCACCCTATTCAGAAGGTAAATTTCACTAGTATACACTCAAGTAATTTAAATTCTATGCGAAGAGATTAAACACGCAGAACAACAACGAGATTGCTTTTGTCTGAACAGACCTGTAGCGTTAACATATGATTTTTCAAAAACTAAATAAGAGATTTTTGTAAGTCTTAAGGTAGAGGATAGATGATTATTCAAATAACCGAGCAGATGCTGACAAGTCATAAAACGTACACAATCGAGTAGAAACTTTGTGGTTAATAGATACAGTGAGAAGAATACCCTGCTGGATGAATGATATTAACCTTAATACTTGCAGCCCTTAGAAGGAAACCCCATTCTTGTTGTCTGGGTTAACTGACCTATTATACTTGAAACTGAAGACTGGGTAAAAAATTATAAATATTTACAAAAATTTAAAATTAGGTCTTGATTATGCCCGAGGCATGTCGCGTTTCATACTTGCTCTTAGATTCATCTTTTTTCTTTGTTAGCTTTGCTCGAATCTTAGATATTTCACCAGATTTAGTTAGATTTTGCATTGATAAGTTAGCAGCATTTGGAGAAAAATTGTTTCCAATGGAGTGACTTGGAGGACGACAGTGTTTTTGTTCCTTGAATGGCGAAGCTTTTGTCAGGGTAGAAGCATTCATTAAGGGTGGATGAATAGCATTTCGTGTGACTATCTGGATGTCGAAAAGTAAAATTCATCAAAATAATTTCACATACAGTGTAAAGTGAGGATGGAACTTCGGGCTTCACAATCGGTGGAAGTGGAGGTAATCTCTCAGTTGAACTACAACTGAAAGTGGGCGTTGACAGTCTCTTTAAAAATATAAATAAGTATATTTTAGTGTTCTTCAGTTACTTCAACTACATCTTCATATTTCTTTAGTGACCCGCTCATTTGAAAACTCTCTTGTGGCTGTTACAATAAATTAATGAAAAAAGTATTACCCTATGATAGTTAAACATTTTCAGGACATAATAAGGAAAATAAATTTTGAAAATTTAGATGGCACATTTCAGTACGATTTCATAAAATCAGCGTTGCCATTCGAGATATGTAAATCGATTCGGTATGATAAAACAATGATGCATCCAATATCCAATAACTTTTTCACAAGCTAGTATAAACCTCACGATTTCTTTGCGTTCGATTCTTGTTCTTTCGATACAGTTCTTGGTTTTTGGTAGTGTCATGATGGATGAGGGTCTAGCCACCCGACTGTCTGATTCTAGACAATTGGCAGCTGGTTGTGAGTTTGAATGTCCCGTGATTTGAATGAAAACGTTTGTTTTAGGGTAGTAGGGTTTCTGGATACCAGTATTTCTCACATAACCAGATCGGAGATTAGTTAGTTGCAGTGTGGAGAATAATAAGGAGAAAAGTATAATGTTAATAAGATTTCAGAACTAAGTAAATAACGAGATGATTTAGTTAACTAATTGGTAGTGAGTATTGTGGTAGAGGAAAGAAGTGTAAGCAAAGGAGAGGAAACGGAGATAATGGGCGAGATGGATGAGGATAGCAATCTGATGAGATGGCAGTAATAACAACTAGCAGGTCTCAAGGCATGTATCAGGTACAGCTTGTCCACGAGGGAGTTGATAATCCGTGAGTACAGATTTTCAAGTCTCTTCTTAAAGCTGTCCACTGAGGGTGCTGTGGCTACCTCGGCTGGGAGAGCACTCCAGGTTGCAGCGACTGTTAATGAGAAAAGTAGGCACAAACCTGAGTATTCGCCCTTTGATTAGCAATTTTTCGAGGATTGCCTCAAAGGGAGTGGTGCTGATGCGTCGGTAAGATGATCATGTTGGGATGGATCGGAGTGCGTAACATGTTGTACGCCATAATCGGGTCACCTTTGATTCTCCTATAACTCAGAGGGAATAATCGCAAGCGGTGTAGTGTATCTTAGTACAGTTGGTTCTTCAACTCTATTGCCCATTTCGCCGCTCGTCTCTCCACCCCATCCAAGTGATTTATGACTCGTTTAGGGAGAGGGTGTGCGAAGCCATTGTTAATCTCATGATGTGGGCGTGCATTTGTCCTAAACAGCGTTAAGAATAATTCTGAGGTGACAGAACCAAGTTGTCTTCCCATAAAGTGAAGAGATGAATTTGCCTTGTCGGCGTTCTCCACATAGTTCGAACGGGTGTGGAGGATTACTGTGGTTACTACACCGAGATCGCGGTCTGAGGGGACATTATGGGGCAGACTTCCATTGAGGTGTAAGTCGTTTGTATCATGCTGGGCAGAATGTGCATGACGTGACACTTTGACTAGTTTAGTATCAACCCAATTTTCACTGCCCATTCCTCAATGAGTCTAAAGTCCTTTTGAAGCTGAGTCAAATCCTCTTCGCCTCTAATAGGCCTCCAGACCTGTGCATTGTCTGCGTATATCAATAGTGGCGAGCTCATTGTGCCTAACAGGTCATTGGTAAATATCTGCAAGAGGATTGGACCTGAGGAGGCCCCTGTAGAACTCCCGATATCTAGGCTCGTCAACTCGCGTATATTCGATCTACCTTGGAACGAAACTATCTATTCTAAAGGAGTTTCTAAGCCAAGATAGGAGTGAGTCAATGAAGCCCATTTCCGTAACCTTCCCTGTTAGGCGTGCATAAAGTACAGTGTCGAAGGCCTTTTAATAGTTTAGAAATATCACGTGCACCGGTATTTTCCGGTCTAACCAGGATGTCCAACTGTCATGTGAGAGGATTGTATGCGCTCGACCTGCCTTTCTTAAACCCGTGTTGAGCTTCATGGAGTATTTTATTCTTATCCATGTACTCCCTCATATGTTCGTTCACCAGCCATTCCGTTTCCTTTGATAGTATCGGTAGTAATGCTACTGGTCTGTAACAGCCTGGGTCCTTCGTATCTCCTCCTTTGAAGATTAGACAGAGTAGCTTCTTTGTAGTGAATGCCTGAACAGGTCACATATTGGTGAAAAGAGGGCTTCTTCCTATTGTTTCAAGACTGTGTTATGAATATTGTCGAGGCCTGGTAACATTCCCGGGCGTGAGGATTTTAGTTTCTTTAGTACTTAGTCAGGAGTAATACGGATATTCTCTCAGCAGTCAGCTGGCACTGGGTTTGCTTAGTACTCTGAACATGTGGTGCCTAGTTTAACTGATTGGTGAAGTTTATATTGAAAATCTCAGCCATCTATAGATCGGTGAAATTTTCTCCATTTACATTTTAGAGGCAACACATATTAGTAGTTTTTCCTCATATCATGAACCTAAACAAATGCTTATGGTGTAGAACCCTTTTCGGAAAATCCCTCCATGTATACATTTGTTACATGTACTTATTGACTCTTTCCGTCATACATTTTGTTGGTCTGTTTGATCCCATTTTGGGATGTTAATATTTGTATTTTGTTATCGTTTCTGATTTTTGTACCCTTTTTGAGTTTCTATGTTTCTTCCTGAACTGTATTAAGTTGTTTAAGTTGATACTTACTTTCATATCGAATTTTGATTCTCAGGCGCTGGATAGATTTATCTGGTCTGTAAGGGTGCAATTTGAATCGAAATTTGGAGCCCCTTCCAGAATTGGAGACAATTTGTGTTATTGCGGAAGGAATAAGGTGTAATATTGTTTAGGTAATAAATTGTACTTGTTTTATGATTGATAACAGAACCGTTACTTGCCCAGATTAATTGTTTTCTCTTTGGATTAGCTGGGCAAGGCGCGTATCTAAACTTCCTGAACCGTTATTCCTAAATCCAAACATGATTTGCATTTAATATATGGTTTGCCTGCATTGTGGCAGCTTGCTTCATCTGAATGCCTCTCCTGTAGCTTCGAACTTTGGTATTGCATCTGTCTCTCCCTTCTGTGTTGCCGTATGTCTGGTGATACCAGCATGTCGTGGGAGCTAAGTATTCCCTAGGGCGTGATCGACTTTTGTCACAGGGTCTAATTTGTGGCTGTCTTTGTGGTCTGTCATTCTGAGTCAGATTCGTCAGCTTTTGGCATAAATTACTAAGCACATTTTTAAACTCTTCGATTTCATAGTTCACTGATGTGTGATGGATCTTTGAACTCGGTGTTTTCGTTCTTTGATAAATCCTATCGGCTATTCCTGCCATATGATCTCTATCGGCTATCCTCAACCACGGGGATCGGCTGCACATTCGGAGGGCGTCGACAGAGCCATAACTAATAAAAAATGATTCTGTCTATCTTCCTGTCCCCTATTAAGCTTCCCAGGTTATTCTTGTTGAGAAGATGATCGACTGCTTGTTTGTCGGTTAACGAGACAGATTTTATAATGGCCTGTTTTACCACATCATATGGCTTTACAGCAACCGGTTTAATTAGGACCTCTCGTACTTTATCTGCTACTTTGCTTGAAAAAAAATGAGCATGCATAGACGAATTCGTTTCGTTGTGAATGAATGTGGTTGTCCATAAAGTACTTTTCAAGTCCAATAAACCAGAGCTGTGCGTCTTTGATTCTAAACAGAGGAATAGAAACAATAAGGGACCTCATGGATGCCACTTGTGGAAAACTTTTATCGTCAGCTGAAGACGTGTTTATGAACAGTAATTATTACAAAAATTGATTAACCAATATAAGGAGAGGAAATCAGATATAAAGATAATAATGCTAATACCGAATAATGAAATGTTATAACATAGAACAGACTTACTAAAGTGCAGTAGTATAACAAATGTATGTATAATGACGTTACTTGTGACTAGTAATATTGTCAAAATACGTTCAAAAATGTTTATAAAATAATTAACAAGTAGTGAAAATACGATAATAATAAATCACAGGTGTTAAAAGAATCAGAAGAAATTAAATGTTTTCATGAGATCCGTGGTTCCCTCCGAAGTTTCCCTCAGGATAGCTGGCATTCTGAGAAATAAACAGTTTTATCCGGTAAAGCGAATGATTAGAGGCATTGGGGATAAATCATCCTCAACCTATTCTCAAACTTTAAATGGGTGAGAAGCTTAACTCGCTTAATTGGAGTTTTGCATTGAATGTGAGTGCCAAGTGGGCCATTTTTGGTAAGCAGAACTGGCGCTGTGGGATGAACCAAACGTTCGGTTAAGGTGCCTAACGCGACGCTCATGAGATACCACAAAAGGTGTTGGTTGGTCTAGACAGCAGGACGGTGGCCATGGAAGTCGGAAGCCGCTAAGGAGTGTGTAACAACTCACCTGCCGAATCAACCAGCCCTGAAAATGGATGGCGCTCGAGCGTTGGACCTATACCGGACCGTTGCTGTAAGCTGGGCCTATGCTGTGTGAGGGCAAGCTGCACTTGGTCCAGGCATGGAGTTACGGCAACGAGTAGGAGGGTCGCTGTGGCTAGCGGGAAGCCTCAGGCGTGAGCCTAGGTGGAGCAACCACAGGTGCAGATCTTGGTGGTAGTAGCAAATATTCAAGTGAGAACCTTGAAGGCCGAGGTGGAGAAGGGTTCCATGGGAACAGCAGTTGTCCATGGGTCAGGCGGTCCTAAGTGATCCGGTAAATCGGAACAGAGACGGGGTGCCTGACATTGTCCGTTCGCGGGCTTTGTTCAGTATTCTGCAAAGTACTGTTGCACTGCAGCCCCCTGTAGCGAAAGGGAATCGGGTTAATATTCCCGACCCTGTCCACGGAGATTGGTGTGCGTCGGGCCTTTGGTTCGGCGTGCGCCCAGCGCGGTAACGCAACCGACCTCGGAGACGTCGGCGAGAGTTCTGGGAAGAGTTCTCTTTTCTTTGTTAGGAGTGCATCCACCCCCTGGAATCGGCTTGTCCGGAGATAGGGGGCTAGCCTCCGTAAAGCACCACCCTTCTTGTGGTGTCCGGAACGCTCTTGTCGGCCCTTGAAAATCCGAGCGAGGCAGTATAATTTTCGTGGCAGGCCGTACCCATATCCGCAGCAGGTCTCCAAGGTGAACAGCCTCTGGCAATTGAACAATGTAGGTAAGGGAAGTCGGCAAATTGGATCCGTAACTTCGGGAGAAGGATTGGCTCTGGGGGCCGAGTCAGACAGGCCGAGATCAGATACGTGTCGGTCCAGTTGGGGGCTGGTTTCTTTG